ATCACACTCATAGTAATCCGCCTGTTTACAGCCTCCTAAGAGCTGGGATTACAGGCGTGCACCACCACCCCCAGTCTCAATTGCCATCTCAGCTCTCAGCGTGCCAGGGCTGAGGTGGGGCCGGCGGGGCAGGCCCAGGGATTGAACCCCAGGCCCCTGCGCCTGCTTGCAGCAGTGCTTTAATCCGCTGAACTATTTGGCTGGCCCTGGAAAAGTAAAAATTAAAAATAAAAATAAAAAAGAGTGTCACCCTCCTGAGACCATCAGGCACACCCATGGCAGCAAGGAGGGCTGTGTGCTCAGTTGTGATTCCACCAGCCAGGTGGCCAGGTCGGGGGGGGGGGGGGGGGGGCCATCAGGCACACCCATGGCAGCAAGGAGGGCTGTGTGCTCAGTTGTGATTCCACCAGCCAGGTGGCCAGGTCGGGGGGGGGGTGTGTGCGCGCAGTGTGTGATCGGACCATGTCACCTTTTCTCTTTGTCACCTGTCATGTTCAGTGGGCTCACCTGGGCCTGAACCCTAAGCCGTGGTAATGTATTATTCGCTGAAATCTTTGTTTCTTAAGTAAACTGACAAAGCACGCAAAAAATAAAAATAAAATAAAAAGCCAGTGGAAAATCAGCAACGCTTTGCCTGTGACCTCAGCCCTGAGCCCAGCCCTGAGCTGCCCAAGGGGTGCTGGGACTAGAGCAGCCTCCACCACGCCCCCCGCGGTGTCCTTTCAGCTGCTGCCTTGTTTTGTTTTTGAGAAACCAGGAAGAAATTTTCTACATCCTGTTTTATTTATTTATTTTTTTCCAAAGGACTTTTTTTGGTCTTATTTTCACTATTTTCTTTTTTTTTTTTTTTGGTACCGGGAATAAAACTCGGGGCCTTGCGCTTGCTAGGCAGGCGCTGCGCCACCGAGCCACATCCCCGGCAAGCAACCGCTTCCTGTTTTATTTTTATTTATTTATTTTTTATTTTTTTGGTGGAACCGGGGATTGAGCTCAGGCCCTTGCGCTTGCCAGGCAAGCGCTTATTCCACTGAGCCATCTCCCCGGCCCCTTTGTTTTATTTTTTTAATGAGCATTGTTTTATTCATTTCCAAAGAATGCTATGAATATGGTCTACATAGAAACAAAATGGTTACATATATATAAAATATGCACACATATCAGACAAACATGTACATATACACACACACACACACACACGCCTACTCTCAAAAGTACAAAAAACTTTCTAATTTAAATTAAACTTTCTAAATTTTAACACAATTTCTCAATACAAAGGTAAAGTTTTTTTTTTTTTTTGTGGTACTCGGGATTGAACTCAGGGCCTTGTGTTTGCCAGGCAAGTGCTTATTCCACTGAGCCATCTCCCCGGCCCCAGCAGGTGCTTATTCTACTGAGCTATCTCCCCAGCCCGATGTATTTATTTTATCTTATTTATTTTTTATTTTGGGGGGCCTGAGGATGCCTTGAGGGCATTTCTGGTTTCCTGTAAGAAACTGGGTTCGAAGCAGAGCATCTTGAGCCCGAATGCTTTGTTTAAGCAGGCACTGAAACAACTGAGCTAATGCGCAGGCCCCCTATTTTTTTTATTTTTAAAGAGAATAAAAGTAATAGATGAGACATTAGAAACGACACATCCCATTTTGTAAGAGGTGTTCTCCACCTTGTTAGGCGAGAGCACAGTAAGGGGCTGCGGATACACAGCTGAGCCTGGAGGAGGTAGGCTGGATGAGGGCGTGGTTAAGCAAGCCTGTAATCCCAGCCCTCGGCGGGATTTTTTTTTTTTCCCCCTTTTGGTACCAGGAATCAAACTGGTGACCTAGCACTTGCCAGGCAGTCACTGTGCCGTTGAGGTACACCCCCAGGCTGAGATAGGAGAAACCAAAAACCCAGAACAAAAACACTAATACCTAAATTCTTGTTTTCAGGGGCCGGGGAGATGGCTCAGTAGAATAAGAGCTTTCCTGGCAAGCACAAGGGCCTGAGTTCAATCCCCATTTGTGCCAATAAATAAATAAATAAATAAATAAATAAATAAATAAATAAAATAAATTCATGTTTTCAAACTGCCATGTTTTCTGGGCTTTTTTTTGGGGGGGTCTTATGGTGCAGTCAGAGCACTCTTAAGCTAGCCTCCAAGTCAAATAGATCCTCCTGCCTCAGCCTCAGCCTCTTGAGTGCTGGGATTACAGATCTCTATCACCACATCTGGCTTGAGTTGCTTTTGTTTGTTTGTTTGAATTTGTGCCTTCTCACTAATAAATTTCATTCATTGCAGAGGTATTAATTTTGAACAAGCTTCAGTATGAGCAAGTAGCAACATATAAATAGATGTCTCAATACAGAAGGAACAGTGGGGGTATAGCTCAGTGGTAGAGCATTTGACTGCAGATCAAGAGGTCTCCGGTTCAAATCCGGGTGCCCCCTGGGTGATTGCCTGTGTTTTTCTTTTCTTTCTTTTTCTTTTGTTTTGTTTTGTTTTGTTTTTTGCAGGGGAAGAACTGGGGATTGAACTCAGGCTCTTGGGCTTGACAAGTGCTTATTCTACTGAGCCATTTCACTGGCCCCTCCTGTGTTTTTCTTAAAAGCAATGGGCTATAAATGAGAACATCTGGAAATGAATGATTTCTGCATCCAAAACTCCTTGAAGCTGTCCTTTGACACACCAAATTTTCTCTTCTTGAAAGCTCCTGCTATCAGAGAACTAGAGGGTAGCAACCTTTGCAGGCGGAATGGGTATGAAAGCCCAAATGCATGAGAAACACCCATACTGCAGATTGGTCAAGTGAGCACACCAAGTCATCCCCTCCTTAAACACTATTTACCACAGGGCTGGGGAGATAGCTCAGCTGAATATGTGCTTGCCTGGCAAACTCAAGGGCCTGAGTTCAATCCCTGGTTCTTCCCCTGTAAAAAAGCCCAAAACAAGACACTATTCACCAACACTGCCTTTGTTTTTATTTTACTTATTTTTGAAACAGGATCTCCATGTGTGGTTCAGGCTTGCTTTGAACCCACTATGTAGCTCAGGCTGGCCTCAAACTTTCAGAGATCCTCCTGCCTCTCAGCCTTCCAAGTCCTGGGTTACAGGCCTGTGCTGCCACCCTCCCCTTTTAATGTTAACTATAATTTGTTTTGGGCTAAAAAGTGGCGAGTCAGGGTTAAAGAATTCCTTCACCGAGCTCATCCTTGGAGATCAGGAGGACGAGGTTCAGGTGGAAGAGGACTGGGACGCCGGCTCGCCCTCTCCGCACAGCTCCGGGCAGGGCTCACTGGTCGGGCTCACTCTCCAGCCCAGCACCAGCTCCCTGCCCAGGCCGCAGCTCCAGCAACGGGAACCAGAGGGGAAAATGAACGGAATATTCTCGGGAGTCCCCAGGGATGACACGGCCAGATTCCAAGTTTTAAATATCACCACTGCCCCCTGACCCAGAAGCATGCCTCTGCCCTTCTCCCTGATTTTTCCTTTTTGGGCAAAATCTCACAGAGCGACTGGTCTTGCTTCTCCCTCGCGCTTACTTGCCTCCAGCCCGGGGCGCTGCTGTCAATCATGCGGTCATCTTGTCCCGTCTTCAGGGCCTTTGGAATTAGTGTGGTGGCGCTCAAAGTGTGGTTCCCGAGCCCGCACTACCAAGACACTGTTCAAAATGCAAATTGTCTACACTGGGCATGGGGGCCCACCCCTGGAACCCCAGGACTAGGGAGGCTGAGGCAGGAAGACGGCCACGAATCCGAGGCCAGACTGGGCTAGGGAGATTCTGTTTCAATAGAGCTCCCAGGTAATTTTGGTGCGCACTCAGTCTGAGAACCACTGTCTTCCTTTGTATCGGGTTGCAGCGGGAAACAGTTTTATTTTTGTAGCTCAATTAAAATGTGTCAAAAAAAATAAAATAAAATGTGTCTAGAGACGGGGGAGATGGCTCAGTAGAATAAGCGCTTACCTGGCAAGTGCAAGGGTCTGAGTTCAATCCCAGGTTCCAACAAACAAACAAAAAAAAAATTAAAATAAAAAATAATAAAATGTGCCTGATAGAGCCGCATGTGGTGGCACATAGCTATAATATGGGACTCAGGTGGCTGAGACAGGAACGTCGGCACAAGTTAAAGGACAGCGTGAAGTGCTCTAACATTCTCTAAGTGCTTTTTACTCTGTCATCCACAATAAAGACAGTTGGGGTAGGGGTGGGGCGGGGTTCCTCACTTGGCCCAATCAGAAGTGGAAATTTAACCTGGGGGACCCACCTGCTCGCGGCTGGACGCGCGCCCACACCCTTTGCAGGCACAAAGCAAAACCGGTTCCTGCTAACGCTGAGAAGGACAAAAGGACTTATTTTCCCTTGTTTTGTTTCGATAGGATACAATGCTAAATCAAGCGCTCAAAGTACAAAATAAATGATAGCAGTTGAGAGAGGAAAAGTCTCCAAGGGGGCACCCGGATTTGAACCAGGGACCTCTTGATCTGCAGTCAAATGCTCTACCACTGAGCTATACCCCCGCGCCGCTGCAGCGCCGGGATGCGACTCTTTTCGGCGCTGCGAGCGCAGCGGCCGCCACGCGACGGGGAGCGAGGTGGAAGTGGGTGAAGGCAGAAGGCGTCAGAGGACGGCCGGAGCGCCGGGTCGGGGGACGAGTCAGCCCCGCAGCTCGCGGGCGTGGGGAGAACGTGGGCGCCCCGGGCCGGCCGGTCGGAGCAAAGTCCCGACCCGGGCGCCTCGGCCGCCAGCAAGGCCGCCCTCGACGGCGGGGTCCCTGCGTGTCCTGGGCGCAGGGTGTCCCCGGCAGCGGCGGGCCAGGTCTTGGGGTGCAGCGTGCGCCCCCCGGGGGCGTCGGGG